GGGGAAAGCATTTTCTGGGAGTCGGATTCAGGAGGGATGGAAGGAAACTTGAGGTCTGGATTATGAGATAGACTGGACTTTGTTGTTCCCTTAGGGGGGATTTGTCTTGGACTCATGATTAATTTAAACAGCGCCTGCTGCATGTGGCCGTTAGTTAAGAAACAGAAACCAAAGCAGAGACGCATCCAAAACTCCCCCTAGATCCAATATGGTGGCTTTCAAGATGGCGGCCCTGCTCTGGACACCACTTAAAAGATAGCCCCCCCACCTGTTGTTTCCTGGGGTATTCAGGTCTGTCATTCTCCCTTTAGTTAGGCTTTTAAGACTGTTTGAAATGAGAGAGTTGGCATTAAACCACATCACAACGATTCCTGACTGCTCATTTACCTTAAAAAAAAAAAGGACTGGCCCTCATCTGCTTCCCTTCTAAAACAACCAGATGAAACAAAAACAAAAACAAAAGCAGCGCCTGCTTTGGAATTTGCCGTAATAAACCAGAGACCGTGCTTCCCTTTAAATGGCTTTAAATGACTCTCAGCAGGAGCTGTGTTCACAGCAAACTGCTGACCACTGATATTTTTAATGATTAGTTTAACGGTAAACTCTATATATCATGAAGTTAGACCCCTAATATACATTATAAAGGATTTAAAAATCTATCATGCACCCCCCGGGGACTCGTATGCTGCGGAGAGGCCAATCCACAGAAAACCCCCGGCTCAGCATTTTTAAGTCATTATCCAGAAAACTGTGTGAACCAGCCAACTCACTTTTCTCCACCTGAGTCAGAAGAAGTGACTTGTTGTTTGTTTTGTTTCCAAACTGGCCTGATTCTGTACAACCACACAAATCTTCTGTTTTACCCTGAAATGTTCATGTCTGGTGCAGAATTGGCTGGTTTCTAAATCGCTTTGGAGTCAGCTGAAATCAGGAAAAGCTTTTTGAAAACTGCAGTCTGTTGCTTTTTCGTGGTAAAAATGGCTGGCGCGCCCCCCTCGTTTTTTATGCATTTACCCAGCAAATTTGGCCATTGTGTGCAATAAAGCACAACACCAATGGGTTCCTTAAATTATGCATCACCAATTTCAAAGCCTGGAAACAGGAACACCTTGGGGGGAATTCAGCATTTTTCTGATGTCATTAAAGTTACCTGAACTCTTCCTGCTGCAAAATTCATTTAGTTTGTTCTCAGAGGGACCATTTCCAAAAAGCTTAACCACACATTTAATAAAAACACAACTATTCAGCTTCCATTAGATCTCTTTACAACCAAGAACGAGAAATAAAAACTTCACATTTACTTGGTGGGTTATTTATGTAGGGAATGACAACTAAATGCTGAATAACCCAAATTTAAAAATATGTGTGATTTTTGAGGGCTTTTAAATTGAATATTCTAAACACTTGCTATAAAACATTTAACCTCAAATATATTTTTTGGGGGCCCTTTGGTGGCCTCAACCTCCTTTTAATGGCCTAATATAACCATTAGCTTCCTCTCACACATTTAGTCACAGCATGCTTGCTTTGCTCCTTCAATCCATTTTTTCAAGTCATATACATTCAATTTCCTTTGAGAAATGATAACCTTTAGAGCTAATAGTGACCGAGAGTACAGAACCTAGATCTTTTTCCCCCCTGTGATGGAAATAGTCCTCTGTTTGTCACACAAATCACACATCCAACACAAACAAGATGCTAAGCTAACTTAGCTAATGCTTTATAAATACAGTAGTGGCTAAAATTATGCTAAGGATTAATGGTACAAATATTAGAATAAAATAAATTTTCCAACCAAACAACACCTAGATAGATTAACTAGCTAGCTACCATCCCAAACTACCAACATGATATTGAAGGTTGAACATAGCTAGAAGTTAATGTTTCCAAAGTGCTAGTTTGCTAATACCTGCTAATGTTAGCAGGAGAGGCTAGCTGTAAAAAATCTCCTTGTAATTAACTACTTATAAATTAAAAAGTGGACCTACCTCATACTATCCTTTCTTTCACTGCTCCTCTGAGTCTTGATGATCCAAAAAACATAAATATTATATTTGAACATAATATTTTAACAATATTGAATGGAAGGAACCAAACACATTTTTAGCAGACATACTGATTTTGTATTGCTGATATCTGTCCATATAATCTGTCCAAGAAATATAGGAAGACAATGAAAATTATTTTACTATTCAGTATTTTGTATAAAACCGATAAAGGTTTTCTTTCTTTTATGTTCACCATAAAGTTAATCTATGTATCCAATGTGATACGGGATCTATTTAAGGGTTGAAAATCAGACAAATTCATATGATTTGAGCTTAAAATTTGAAGAGTGTAATTTCAGTTCGATCAGAGTGGGTCCAGTCCACAGAATCCTGGTTTATTCTGGGGGTTTTCACTATGGTTTGATAGATTTTAAAATCTGTTTTTTAAACGGTGAATACATTTATGTGAGTGGTGAACTCTGAGTGGGACAGAAAGAGGCGATTTATCCAACTATCACTGGAGGGATTTATTTAACTTTAAATATCTGATTGTGATCTTATTTAGCTGAACGGTGTGCAGATTCTTCACGGCGTATCAGGCAAGCTTGCAATACCAGATACAAGGGTACAATGTATAGCATTTATTTGATGGTTTAGCATAGTGCTCTATTGAAAAAGGAAGAGAAACATACAGAGATATACAGTATAAATCTAAGCCTAAATACATTTTGTGGCAGCACAGAACATTTCACATTCCATTATGGGACCAAGGCCGTACAACACCCAAAATCTTTGATGATTGTTTTTTTTCTTTTGTTTTTTTTCTTTTAACATAGGCTCACATGGCATAGATTCATCTCTAAAATGAAGAGTTGGCAGCTGTCGTTAATGAGTTTGCAAAAGATTTTCATTCAATCCCTCTGAGTTTAGAATTGTAGCATGCATGATAAATAAATTATGTAGAGTTTGTAACACTTTCCATCTCTAAACCTCTCGATTCCTGTTTTTTTTCTTATAATTTGGTCATTTGAAAGAAAAACACCTTAGACGATTACTTTTAAATCTCATCACATGACCCAAAGGTAACAGCTGAAACCAGAGGAAGAGCGTTCAGCCTTATTTACAACACACCAAAGTATCCTTAACATTTCATCGGTACAGCTATCGTCCTCCAAACTACACAGAGCAGCTTGAAATGTCTTTGGGCAGACCGGATCCATGGCTTAAAAGTCACCAAACAACGACTGTGCTGAAAAACGGGGTCAGAGCATCTCCTTCAACACGTGTTCAGACGGGAAACGAGTACAATTTCAGGGGTAAAAGCCAAAGGAAAGATTTTATCCCTGACTTCTGGCTTCACAGCGTGAGCACATGTTGAAGCTAAACGTTTGACTTTTGGATCATTGTCATTATTTGATCTTGTGCTTTTTTTTTCCTGTCATGCATTCGGCCCGTCTACACAGTAGAAAACGGCCCTTTAGCCGCTGGAATCCCGCCTGGGTTCAGCTCCACCCCGCCTCGGAAAGCAAATTGTACTTGTGCTGCGACAATCCGAGAGCGATACATTCACTTCTTTGTCATTTCTCAGACTGCTCACCTTACAACTGCTCCTCAATCTGCTGTTTGGACTTCTGGACGTGTATTCTCACACATGCACGAACAGCTGAGCGAGCGCTCTGCGGCTGGAGGTGGGATGGCACACAGTTTGTCAAAAGAGCCGAACCGGGGAGTTCTTTTTATCCACAAAACTATCACAGGTTAACGTTTGTCAAAGAATAAACGTCTCCTTATCCACTTTGCATCACACATGCACATGCACACGTCACCACAGCGCCCTGTTCTCTACTTCTACTCATTTCTTGCAATATAAGAGTGGGTGTGTTACATTCTAATGGAGAAATGATGACCATGGCTCATTATCCTCTCCCTGAAGAATGGATCTGATACATTCAATGCGAGTATGTGCTTATAATTACTTGACAGACTGGTTATCGCGCTCCATCTTCGGACTCTGTGAAATCCATTTGCATCACTTTGCCGCTGTGTGCGGCGGCCCGCAGACGCAGTTCGAACGCAGAGCTGAAACATGCAGAGAGACTGGAGGAACCTCAACGCGGTCGGCACGTCTGGGGAGGAATGTACGCGGAGCATCCCTGAAATGCTCAAAAACACGGATCTGATGCCTGAAACTGACCTGGTACTCTTTTCACTACATATTATGACTATTATAGGCAGTATAACAATCACAAAATGATCATTTTTGTTTTTGGGCTGCATATATATACATATATATATTAATATATATGTATATACATTTACATGTATATACACCTATGTACTTATGTACAAAAAAATCAGAGTAATTCTTCTGTGCCGTCAGCGCAGAAGAACTGGTGTCGAGCAAAAGAAAATCAAACAGGTTAGGAAATAAAATGAACACCTGAAGACACAAGAGTACAAAAATATCAGAATATTTCATGGGTTAAGAAGTAATTGCGTCGCCCAAAAGGCCCTTGGCAGTTATTTTAAATGAAACGGAACACAGTTTACAGAGAAAGTTTCACAAATTCGAGTGCAATTCTGTTGTGCGGCTGTTGTGAAGCTCGTGGAGGAGGAAAAAGTGGCAGTCTTACCAGAGGTTGTGCTTATCTTCTGTTTCTCCTCCCCATAAAACCACCAGAAACGAGAACCTGAGTCACAGATCGTCAGCTTTAAACTCTTGTTTTTGGGACCAGATGGAGTGAGGAAGGTGCCATACCTGACGGTGCATAGGGAGCCGGTGGGAAATGGAGGTTCAGATATTGCCTGCACTTCTCTGAGTTTTCTGGATTTCTCAAATGGTTAAAAAATCTTTGCTTTGTCTACTCTTTTTCTGAGCGTGTGGTATAATTTGCTGGCTTTGTATCTCACTATTTACAGGTTACTGAGGGCAAACGCTGGGAAATGACACGTCCCAATTACAGTACACACTTTGAAAAATAAACACCGCAGTGCCACCATATAAAAAACCATTTAGAGGAGAACCTGGAGTCTCTGTGGAGTCTTTTTCCCGCCGCTGTCAGATCCCTTCACGTAGAAAAAGCGACAGAAAAGAAGGAGGACCAACCAACAAACGAATGAGTAAAAAGACAGAGAACAAACAGAGAACCAAAGGAACACCAGACCGCACGCCCCCATCAGACGTAATACAGCCAGTAGATGAGGTTGAAGAGCGAGAACACGGAGGGGAAGATGATGCGGGACCAGCGGTCGATGGCGTTCACATCCGTCAGGTCTGGGATTTTGATCTTGAGCTGGGAGGAGCGTCTGCGCAGGCGGCTGCGCTTCAGCTGCGCGGCGCGGTCCAGCGAGTGGCGGCCGGCGGGGCGCGGGCCCGAGCCGCCGCTCTGCTTGCGGTACTGGACGTGCGAGGAGGCCGAGCTGTCCAGCTGCACCATGGACTGAGAGTTCCTGATGTCCGCCACGCTGGTGGTGATCTCGCCGCCCGCCACCTCGTTGTGGATCTCCAGGGTGGTCAGCAGGATGTTCCCGTGGCCGTGGGCCTCCGCCTGGGGGTGGGGGGGGTGGGGGGGGAGAGCTGGTCAGATCAAAGCGGGTTCATGTGGGCTGCTCTCTGCTTCATGTTCAACAGACTGGGAAGCAGAGAGAGGCCACAATCTACCAAAGCTCACATAGGAGTCAGAATCAGCCTCAGCTCAGCATCAGGATGGAGACGGTTCCACTTCCTGGTTGTGGTTCTAGTGGAGGTTTCAGCCCTGAGTTTATCAGCAGCTCGTCCAGAACCGGAGGCTAAATTTGAAGACTTGTTGTCATTTGGTGCTTTATCAATAAGAGGCGGGTAGAAACACACTGAATCTGAGCTGTCCGACTGACTCATTTTCCCATTTAAAACTTCAATGTTTCGGCTTTTAATGCGAAAAGCTGAAGCTGCCGACATCTTTTTGGATATGACACATTCCTATGTTAAGCTCTGAGAAGCCACGGCTTAAATGTGGTTGTAATGACATCAAGGACTCATTCCAAGAGTTTATTCTAATATCTGCAGCTAGTTTAGGCCAAAGGGAAGGTGTGGTTCCAGATGGTGGAGCCTCCTAAACTGGACCCAATGAGGCAGAAAGGCTGAGCTATGGGGCTGATTGGGGGAATCCTGCTGGACCTCACCCAGAGGAGAATCTCCAGCCTTCTCCTCTGGTTCCTCTTTGTGGAAAACAGGAGGGGAGGATAAACAGCTGTAGCCTGAATTCCATCTGTGAAAGTGCCCGTAATGAGCATGAAGCGGCCATTTAATCATCGCTCGCAAAGCCACCTCAGCGGAGAGCAGCTCCCGATGAACTAATTGCTATTTTACAGCTCCTGCTGTGCGCACGCCTCAGCGGGCAAAGCTGCCGGTTCAGAACGAGCTTCCTGTCCCCGAACACTTCCAGACCAGCAGAAGCTGCAGCCTCTGGCTGAACCGCACCGGTCAGGTGACCACGACAACATCTGGATGGTCAGATAAGCTTTTTAAACGTCTTCACAAAGAGGAAGACCTCGTCTAACCCCTAAAATCGTATCTCTTTTATGTAAATTTGAATCTTTAGATATTTTATCCGCAAAAACAGCCTGAATTTGACCAATTATAAGATCTAATATCCTGTTGTTGGACACAGTGGCGAAAACGTGCCTAAATATGGCTCTTTTATACGTTTTTACTGATTATCGCTGATGGCTGCCGTCCCTCTGGCTGATCCAAACCTACCACTTAAAGACTTTGGGGAATACACCTGGTTCCTGTTTCTGCTACTTTGTGGGCCCATTGTGCTGAAACTTCCCACATTTAGGCATCTAACTGGTCCATAGTGTGTTATAGAGGTGGCTATAACCATAAACAGTTTAAATTAGTGGCTATAACTCCTAGCTTTTCCTTAACTAGTCAGAGGTGCTGAGTCGGTCTTCCATCGTCTTTCAACCTGGGACAACCACCTTCAATAACTTTTGATTTAGGAGGGGTCTCAAAATAAGAAGATGAGAGGAATTCTAGATAATTTTGGTGTCTTCAACCAAAAGAAAGCTGATGCATCACCTGAAAAGGAGAAAGAGGACTGCACATGGTTTCCATGCTTATGACGAGCGTCACACGACAGAAAAGGGTGAAAATTCATTCCTTCATGCAAATGTAGCAACTGGAGAAGTCCCACATTTTCCTTTGGAAGCAACTTTTTTAAAACCCTCATAAAAGAGATGAAAAGTGCAAGCATGCTTATACGAAGTGTTTCATTCACTCATAAGAAAACACCCAGGTATTGGCCATGATACGCCTGAAAAAGCAGAGAATAGGAGCCGTGTAGGTTATATACTGTCTAACAATATATATAACCAAAAAGTCTCTTTTCACTTGATTTTATGCAAATCTTAAGTTTGAAATCAGCACTTATAATAATAATAACTCAATAACTTTAAGTCAAACAGACTTGTGATACTTTAAATTTAGCTCCAAAAAAGGTAGGACGCGCGGACATTTCTTATTATAGGCAGGAAGAAAATGAGAATTATGTACACAAAACTATCAATTATCAGTCTGTTTTCTGCGTTTTACCTTCAGATAAACTGACAGCTATGACTGATCTATGAATCAACAGAAAACCTCATACTGAGGAATTCCAGCTATTGTCTACATTGAGTTCTGGGAATCCTTCTTTTTCAGGCTTAAACGGATCAGATCGAGCGGTGGGGACAGAGGACTCAGGTTTGTGTTGTTGGGGGACAGATATCAGTGGGGGGGGGGGGACCTCAGCAGTGGCTACCCCTGGAGCGGCTGACCACGTCCTGCCATGCGCCATGAGACGGGTGACTGGATAATGATGAGGATAAGGATGAGCGGGCGATACACACAGCATGCACCACCAGAGCCAGCGGTGAGCCACTTCTCACAACGCAAGCCTCATTTCCATGGAGGCGATGTCATGGAGATGCCTGCGGCTGCGTTCGGTGGGATGGAGGGGGGGGGCTAACCCCCCCGCGGGCTGATGGGAAAAACAACTCACCGAGCGTGAGTGGCGGAGGCCCTTAACTTGATTGGACCGTTTTAGGGACGCGGTCCGACTACCTGCCTCCTGAGGAGATTAAAAACATTCAGCCACAGGTGGGGAACAGAGTGCCTGAACTTCCCACGCTGTAAGAGGCTCCTGAACGCACCGGGCGCCAAACGGCGGGCGCCGAAAAGGCCGGACCTACCCGTGCGGCGTCGTACTTGGCGGCCCGCTCGTTGTTGGCCTTCTCCGCCTTCTCGGCCAGCTTCTTCTGCATCTGGGGGCCCCTCCCGAAGAAGATGTAGTTGACGAAGGCGTACTCCAGCAGGGCGAGGAAGACCATGACGAAGCAGCCCATCAGGTACATGTCGATGGCTTTGACGTACGGGATCTTGGGCAGCGTCTCACGCAGGTGGGTGTTGATGGTGGTCATGGTCAGCACCGTGGTGATCCCTGTGAGCAGAGCAAAGACCCCGTTTGGAGCAGTTAGATGATTTTTGGATGATAGTTTTAGTTATACTTTCTCTGAGGCCCTTTAAGGCGGTTTGTGTGGCTCAGCTCTCCTGTCCTGAAGCTTCAGTCCAAAAACTGATAGAGAACTATTACAGATGCCTCCCCCCACCCTGAGTCGTGGTTCTGCTCCAGGTTTCTGCCTCTTAAAGGCGATATTATGCAAAACCAAGTTTTTAATAATTTGTTTGTGTACATTTGGGACTGTGGAGGGCCCATCAGCAGGCAAAGTGTGAAAAAAAATGACTCAGTCATGTTTTTGTGGGCTGCCTCAGTCTGAATCCAGGAGATAAATCAGGAGGTTTCAGGAGTGGGTAGTTTCTGACATCATTAGCTCTAGCTCATTATAATATTCCAGCCTTTCACCTGCATGTTGCCCCCCCCCTCAGCTTACTCCCCTATCTGTGGAGACGTCCTGGTAGCATGAGCGTTATCCTTATGGGATTTTGACCAAAGCTTGTCACAGACATTACATTAGGACACCAGGGAACTAGTTTAACTTGTTGAAATAGGGTATAATATGACTTCTTTAAAGGAAGTTTTTCCTTCCCCGTGTCGCCCAGTGCTGCTCTGGGTGGGAACTGTAGTTCTTCTGTAAATAACTACAGAGTCGGTCTGACCTGCTCTGTTTGGAAAGCTGGGAGAAAACTGCTGTCGTGATGTGGCGCTGTATAAATAAAACTGAACTGAATTACAGTAACAGCCC